AAAAGCAATAAGAAAAAAAAAATCAGACAACACTATGGCAAATAAGTGGCTGTTGAATGTGTGTTCTCGTAATATGGATGACCATAATGAAGCAGCACAACCACGAGAATCAAAACCTTCTGCATTTCTGAATTATTACTAGACAGTTTTTGACGTTTCCCTCGTGGTTCTTCACGTACCTTAAGTTCTCCAGCTGCAAAGGGGGGACCCAAAGCCACCTGACATAACAGAGGCGGTGTGAAAAAGAATTAATGTTCATGCCATGCCAGGCGCTAACTGAGAAAATCAAAAATCTGCCAGGATGAAATGTAATCTCATTTTAGGAAATGTTGAAATCATTTCTGCAGAAGGTTAAAAAAATAATAATCAGGCTGAGTCAGATACACAGCATGGAAAATTTCATCCCAAATGTTTATAGTTTAGCAATTGAAAGCAAGGCCTTATAATGCTGTGTTGGGTAAACTTAACTAATCTGCAAAAATTCCAGTTCTACTTATAATAACAGTAACAGAATCAAAGCTGTCCGGATTAAAAGCAAATACCACAGCAATATTCATATGGAGACAAGTGCTATCATAGCATTAAAAATAATATTAAAATTTGGCATATACACAGAGTATCCAATGAACTCAGGATGTTTTCCAGACAGTAATTTATCAAATCGCACAATATCCCTGCAAAATATACACTGCGCATTCTTCAGACAGATAAATAGGAAGGGCTCCTTCGAGTACAAAGACATTCGGCAACTCGCTAAGCAGCAGCCGGGCAGCGGAGCCAAGCTGCTGGGAACACCAGCTGGGAGCAAGCCCCGCTCCCAGCACCAAGCAGCCCAGCTGCACCTCCTGGCATGGTCAGGGCTCGGTCACTTCACCGCGAGAAAACACCACCTTCTCAGAAATAACAATGCAGAGAGGGAAAAAATTCGACTCGGAGGGTTTTTAAAAGGAGGGAAGAATCCATAGGTGAAAATATTTGTTTTGTGATACAACCGCCTCTGGAAAATCCAAGTGCCAGCCCTCCAAAAAGCATGGCAAGCAAGCGATTGTGTAACAGCACAACCCCACACCGCGCAGGATCAATTCGAAGTAGATGATTAGGAGGGAAAAAAGTTGAAATTCTTTATTTTGCATTTAGCAATAGAGATTTCTCTTCACATACCAGATCACTGACCAACTCCTATAAAAACTGAGAGGTACATTCAGTGAGCTTATGCCCCTTCAGAGTCTCACAACAGTATCAGAAGTAAAATATCCACCTTCTAGCACTGCAGGCAGTGAGTGGGGTGGGACCTTTTTCAATAAGGTATCAAAGTCACTGCTTTGAACACTAGAAATATTACAGGTGGAGGGGAGAAGCACACAAACCGTCCATGCCGCCAAATGAAATATTTTTGCTCTTTTCTATTTTCATGTCTATTACTTCCATATTTTCTATTTCCATTATCTCTTTTCAGAAGTACTATACCTAACACTTAATCAAGTCAGGGACAATGTTCTCGTGGAGTGTTCCCCACGCCCTCGGTCACCGCAGCTGAGAGCACCCACAGCACGTCCCAGCACACCGGGCTGCGGCAGCTCCAAGCGCCACAAACCTAAATACTCCTGGTAGGCAAACCAAGGAGAGGAACTGAATTACAACAACCCAGCAGCTGTCACAGTACGACCACAGTAACCAAATCAAAATATCAACCACCAGCCCAGATGAGACTCGAAGGTCACCACACAAGCCAGCAGCTTTCTTCGACAGCACCCAAAACCTCAGTGCAATCCTTGCAGTGAAATGCTACTTTAAGCTACAGGGGGGGTTAGAAACAAGTTACTGTACATTGGTAAACAATATTGATGTAATGTACTAGCAAAATATCCAAAGTAGCAAGAGAGAAAGTGCTCACCAAGGACACAGGTGGAAATGGAGAGGCAACAAGAACCAACGCCATGCCTGCTGCAGCTATCAGCCCGCACATGGTTCATTTCTGGGCCAAGTGAGTACACTTCGGTTACTCTTAAAACAAAACCAAAATACCCAGTAGAGTACCTGGACTTCAGAAATGCACAGGAGAAGCTCTGTTTGAAAACACACAGGCAGTAGGTTGAGGAAGGGCTTGGGAAACTGTGAGCAACGCAAGGAGCTCTGCAGCTTCACCTGCGCCTCACCACGCAGCCGGCCCTGAAGCCTGAGGCACAGGCTGCCTGCTAGATGCCAGCCACAGCAAAATGTGTGTTAAAAATAAGCATCTGGAGAATAAAATACAACGTAAGCCCTCATTTAAGCACACCCTCTCCCTGCAGAGGCTTGTGGTTCACAGATTTTAAGGAATGAACACCCCAGCATGGTGAGTGTGCCAGGGAGGCCCTCATCTGGCCCAGCTCTGAGGGAGAGCAGGGCCTGGCCACCAGCAGCCCCGTCCCATTAACCAGGGGCTTTTGGGGTCTTTGCCATCCATAAAGACAGCACCAGACCCATCCAGACCACTGTCTGGGACACAAGCAGGGGGTCAGCGAATGAAAAGCTGCAAAGATTCAGGGGATGTTGGCGTTACCAGCACAGAGCTGCTCTAAAACCAGCACGCGAGCAGAAGCACATGAGATCAAACTGCCATTTGTGGTTCTTTTCCGTGAAACATATTAACCATATCGCTATCTAGCCTGTTTCTGATTTAAGTATTACTAATAATTTCTTACTCGTAAAGACAAGACATTTAATCAACGTACCAATTATGCTATTTAAGAGCAATAAAACCAGAGGTGACACGAAGGCCTCACTGCTGCCACACCCCTCATCTTAGGAGCAGCTTTGTTCGAGTCAGGAGCATGCACCAGTACGAAACTGGTTCAAAATGGATGATAATCAGGCTCTATCAGTTGCCAAGAGAAATAACAGCATGAAAAGACAGTTACTGCCTGCTTCTTGAGGTGCACGTCATGCTATACCAGCAGTTATGGGGACCTCTCCTACAGAGGGTTCAAAGTTTTGGGGTCAGGACACCTCTGTTAAACAGCAACATGCACTATTCATCACAGCAATATTTATAATACTCCCCAAATCACAGATTCAGGTGATCAGCATGGATTTACAAGTGTCACCCAGCCCAGCAGAGGTACTCACAGCCCCATCTCCAGTCCCACACCACACAAAATGAAGATCCTGGCCAAGGATGCCCAGCAGAATTTCCACTGGAGGGAAATGCCCACATCACATCATCCCCACCTCCTCCAGGTAAATGCCCCACATTGAGAAACACACCGACACCACGGCACAAAAGGGCATGGGCCCTGCCACCTTTGCTGCCTGACAAAACGGATTAAGAAAAGTCCACCTCAATTACCAGACAATTATGTTGAATTGGGCTGCGGGAGGCAGCTGATGGCCCCAGCAGCACACACACACACAATAACACAGGCTTGCACGTGTAACACCTTGAAAATTTCAAGTTGTATAAGCAGACAAAAGTTTCAGGGTGCTTCAGGAACACAAAATTGTAGGACACTGCCACGCTCCTAGCCCCTACCAAGGGCAGGAGAAGACATCTGGAGCACAGAGCCCACAGCTGGGCTAGCAGTGGTTGTGCAAACCTCTCTGCTGGGGACAGCTGGGACTTGAACAACACCGAAATGGGGGATCCAAAATTTCTAAGAGTCCTACATGGCTTAATTCACTGTGTGCCTCTGAACACGCTTCTAGAAAACAAACGTCTTAAACCAAGCGAAACCAGTATTTTCAGTAAGATTGGCAAAAACAATCAGACAGGAATGAGATTTTTCTGTAACCTAAGGGCAGGCAGAAGCAAGAGACACTTTTAAGTTCTTCAGATTCAAATTAAAGGTTAAACTTGAAAGCATCCCACAGCCCAGTGGGTTTCACAGAAGTGTGTGGCTATTTGTGAAGTGTCTCTGTGCACTACCTAAGCCCCATGGCGTGAGTTAAGAAGGGAGTGTTGAAATTTCCATGCTTTTTTTGGCTTATATTAGACCCTTTAAAACTGTTGTAACCATGTTTTGTACGTGAATACATACAAATGACTACAAGCTCCAACATTGTCCCATATGTTAAACAACTCACAAATATTTCCCAATATTAAAAGACAAGGCATATTTTAGGGACATATATTAGAGCTGAAGAATGATATATCACAGTTACAGCTCCATGTTTTTTTTGGCTGGCATTCAACCCTTTAAAGCAAAGCATTTGGTTAGTTCATTGACAACTGCAGAAGAAGGGTGTGATCTTGGCCAAGCGCAAACATTACTAATATTTTTACATCATATATTTACTTTAACCAAACTCATTTATCAACCATAATTAAAGAAAGTAGCTATCATTCACTGACAAATAATTACAGCCTCGCTTCATACTGCTGCAGTGCTTGCTGCTAAAGCTAAATGGTTATTCAGGGGTGTCAAAAGTTCCTATCATGGGGCGTGGGGCAGAAGGAGGGTCCCTGCCAAACGCCCTGGGCAGATCTCGCTGCTGGGAGCCAAACATGCTGCAGCCACCTTCATCTGCAACCCGGGAGCCTGCAGCTCACAGGTCCCAGCAGGCAGCGACCCATCACGCTCCAAAACAAACAAGGGTTTCGGTGTCCCTCAGCAGCTATCTGTCTGTTCCCTTCTGTGAACATAGACTTCTAAAGCTTTCAGAAAGCCTTTCCTACTCTTCAAGTCCTGCTCAGGGCACATCCTTATTTTCTCTGCCAACCGGTCACATCTTAGAAAGGAAAGGCTGTGCCTTAGGACGCATAGATTTACCTCCTCACAAACAGTTACCACATCAGAAGTCATACCCCCCCCCTTACCAGAGGAAAACAGCCTGTTCAGTAAATGCAACTCATGTACATTTTGTAATCATATGGAAGCTTTAAAAAAAAGCATGTTCCCACCCTTATACCGAGTGCAATCGCCACAAGAATGAGGATAAAGATTTTATACCCTCAGAATTTTATTTCTCATTCATTAATTCCACTTCCAAAAACACAGTTAAGTTAGGAAATCGTTTCTTACTTTGTATTCTGGAATTGACAAAAGGAGGAGAGAGATTGTCGTGTGACCCGAGGTCTCTGCTCGCCATATGATCGTAGTGAGTCCCATCTCCATAGTTCTGTTAACAAAGTGGGGAAAAAACAATTTTACACATTTTTACAGCATTTTTCAAAACCTACAGGCCCATATTCCCCTTCTAAGTCTTAAGTCATCTATAAGAAATATTAGTCCTTTTATTGTTTTCCTCTATTGATTCCGCTGGAAGTGATGCGTTCCAGAGCGTTTTTAAAGCTGTTTCAAATTTTTATTTTGTTAGCAATTGACTTTGGTTTGCTCTGTGGGTAATCCTGAATGGGGGACTGAGATGAGGTTCCTGGAGCTTTCTGCTGTGTAATGCAGCAAAAGGCTCTCATAGCATGAAAATCTTCTTACCCATAACATAAAAATAAAAAAAGGAAGAAGTATTTCTTTTAATGTTTTGCTTTTAAAATTTATTTCTATGTAGAAGTTTGCTCTCTGAATCACTTCGCTGCTATATGCGTGCAAGTGCCTATAAAACGAATTTCCAAAACTGTTACACAGTGGGTGTGGAGGATAACTTTATACTGAAAAATAACCCTCCGTGCTTGTGCACACACTTCTCTAAGTGACCAGCGAGTGTCTGCTGCCCCTCCTGTGCTGGCCTGTGAGTATTTTTGGGGTGATCAGCAGCATCACAGTACCCACAGAGGAATGAATTTATCAAACCTTGGCAGGATCAGGCCCTAACTTTCAAAAACAGTCTGAGAGCAACCTTCCCCTCTCAGTCAGCAGATTAGCCAAATCTTAAAATTAACTGCAAATATTGGCCGCGCAGGGAGTTGTGTAATGTTTTGTTTCTTTGCTTCGGAAGAGCGCACAAGAAACTCATTCTCCCAGCGTGGAAACACCAGCATCACTTCACAAAAAGGGAAACAGAGAGAGGTCAGGCTGTTTGGGGTGTAACTCTGCAAGTTAATGCACAGCCTTGATTGAAAGTCCAGAATTCTCCCCAGGCTCGTGCTCTTTTCTTTCTATGGCAAAACTTAATTGTGCGCTCACATTCAAGTTTTTGCATGCATAAATAATTGTGTGTGCAAATTTCGAATTTACTTTTCAAAACATTTTTCCCCGGGAAGCAATACAAGTGTCAAGCGAAAAAAAAGGGGATAAAAATAAAAGTGACAGACGCGAGCGGTAATGACGTAATGGATGCTAAGCGGGAGGGAAGAAAAGGTGTCGGGCTTCCAGCCCTTGGTGGCACGGCCGGGGTCCCCGCCGGGCAGCACCTGGGGACCCCCTTTGAACGTGGGCACCTACCAAAAACCCACCCCGAGGGGAAAGACGGGCCCAAGGACGAGCAGCAGAAGCACTCGGGGGCACCGAGCAGCAGCCTGCGCTGCTCACCAGCCTGGCTCCTTCACGTTAATTAGAAAACAATTAAAAAGCAATTTAAACAAACTGGCTGAATAAGGGCGTAGAGTGAGAGCTCAGCCACTTTTTGCCCAGCCTAAGAGTACTTCATGCCTTTGCAGGATGTAAACAGAAATAACGATTGCGACGCTGGAGCACCAGGCGTGCAGGGGGGCTCTGCACGGCCCCGCTGCAGCCCGAGATGGCTGAAGGGTCTGCACGGCTAAAGGGTCTCTAAAAGGGTCTGGGAGCCGGTGCTGTGAACACCAGCCTGCCCTCGGGGTCCCTTCCCCATCTCCTCGAGAAGCTGCGCTGCCTTGGCCCTCTTAGGGGGCATCAGCACCAGCCACCCCAAAAAAAAAACCTCACTACAAAATGTTCAACACCAGCATTCGCTGCTCCACGGCCAGGTGGCTGCTACCACACCACGCAAAATGATTAATTAATCTTCTCACTACCTGTTAGCAGCAGCGGAGCAGGTGCCAAATTCAATCACAGGATCAGGTTTGAATGCTTTTTTTTTTTTTTTTTTTAAAAAAAAAAAGGCAATTTTAAAGGGAACACAAGACCGCTGCCAACTTTGCATGCCCATTTCTCTGCACAATCAGGTGTAAAACTCGTATTTAAGATTGCAAATTTACATATGCAGGATGTCTGGTTTGGGGAAAAAGATTAGATATACTTACCCTGGATGGACTAGGATGTCCTGTATTCCCCCAGGACCCTGAGCTAGTTCTGTCTTCTACATCTAGGGACAAAAAAGTTCTTTAGGCTTTATTGCAATAATTCTTTCCTTTTGTATAGGCACTTTTAAATTAATGTTTCAAATTAATCTCCTGTTGCCTTTAATTAAGAATCAGGCACAGGGCTACTACGATGGTAGTGGCTTCTGACCCACTGCTTAAATTAACTCATTTAAATTCACAGCAGAAATGAACCGGACCCTCAGGAACCTGAGGTTTGAGCATAAAATTACTCCAGTGGCTCAGCTCTCCTCGCCGCTGAGGAGCGGCTGCACTCGACCACTTCGAGTCCTGCCAGAGCCTCCAGCACAAAACCAGGTATGGTCAAACAGTAAAAAACAAAATCTGAGAAAACAGAGCAACTGGGAAGTTCAAGTAAAGACGTATTTAGGGTGTTAACTCTCACCGCCCTGGCGAGGCTACCATTTTAGAAAAACATTTTGGCACAGAAAAGCACATTCCTAAAGCTCAGCACATAGCAGGTAGCTCTGGTTTTGCCTTCCCTGTTTAATACAAAATTCATTGCAATCGTTAGGAGACACACAGCGTTTCAGACAGTCTGACAAAAATCACATCAAACATTTTGCGTAAGGTGCTCTCCACATTTCATAATCCCCAGTATTTCTTCTGATGGTGGTATTTCCATTCCACTTTCCCCGGGTTTTTCCCAGTAAAAAATGAGATCTTGTCAATGAAACCAATTTACTAGTATTAAACCTTCCTTGTGATGCTTCAAGGCTCCACATTTGTGGGAACAACGAAAAAAAAAGACATAGGACCTTCTTCACGAGACACCTCAGCTGCTGGGGCCGTGCCCCATGGGTGCCCAACGCAAGGCCGCGCACCTCAAGGCCGGAGGTCGCCCCGTGGCCCAGGAGAAGTCACTGATATCCACCTCCTACAGGCCTGGCACCCTCTGCCCAGGAGATGGACACTTAAACAACCACAGCCATCACAAAACCTCTACCAAAGCAAGTTGGGAGCCTCAGGAGACTTTCCTCTGGCCTAAAAACTGGCTGGGTAGACGTACACCAGCAACCTCAGCACACGTTTCAGGGAAGCCTGTGAGTAATTCCACCAAAACCCCAGTTCACACCGGTGTGAATTCAGCTGAGATCACTCACACTCAACATAAACACATCATTGAGTACCTTGATACTTTGTTTTTTTACATACTGTGTGATAAATACCAAGGAATGTGCCTGGCGTCGATCTATAGCGTTATTGCACGTTTCAGTGCCATTTTCTAACTTACTCCCGTGTGCCCACCAGCACCCTAATGAAATAACAACCTTGCTTGCCTTTTGCCACGCACAAACAGTAGCTTTAATCTAATTGGAAAAAGATGCGTTTGTTTTTTTTTTTTTTCTGGTTGGAGAAACTCTGAGTGCCCCCTAAGACTACAAACACAAGAGCTACCTCCCCACCTGGTATTGCTTCAGCCACTCCTGGAGGAGTAGTGGGAACCTGAGTCGCCTGAGACACAACTATGGTCATTAGCACTTGGAAATACAGGTGCTGTGACCAAATCTGGTTGGTTTCCAACATTAAAAAAAAAAAAAAAGTGTACAGTTTAATACTTTCCCTCAATTACAATTCCTATTATCTCAATAACAGATGAACGTGTTAATAGCACAAGACACTCTTAGGTAAATATTTAATTAAGCTCCAGAAAAAGAAAGAAAATGTGTATCATTTACCTGACAGATCAGATCAACCATTCTATTAGGTTAATTAGGCATATTTTTAAAAATCATTTGTGTTATGTAACAGGCAATTAACTCTGTAGAGCCCTGATCCATCGCCTGTTAAAAATCAATGGATATTATCCCATTGACTTTGATGGGCATCGCACCACCCTGGAGCACAGCTTCCAAAATCCATATTAAACCCATTAGAAAAATTAGCAAGAGAGACGCACACGCAGAGATGCTGACATCGTGCACATCCCTCAATATTTCCTACACCTCTTCTTTGTATTTCATGTACCCCAACACGTGTGCCAGGAGCAGTGCCGAACCACCAAGGCCCCTTACACTGGTTTATGGTCAGGGCTTGGAGCAAGATTTGAGTGCTTTAGCAGGCTTTTTGGGCTTCCATACTGTACATTTTTATTTATATTTTAAGACCACAGATGCTGTGGTCTTGGGGCACTGCAATGAGTCACCTAAGCAAACACCTGAGAACTGCGTTTTGGGATCTTTTCGCACCGAGTGGCCCTAAGAATGGGGCAGGAGGGGGATCACACGCAGCCCCAGGCACCTTTCCCAAGAAGAGAAAGGTTTCTTATGGGCTTACAGACAAACAGATGGTTTTGGGGAAGAGGTGAATCCTGCCCACTTGTCCTTTCTGGCACCCTTTGCTGTGTTATCCCCAATTCCTCCCTTGAGCCAAGGTGCCAACGGCCAGAGGGCACCATCAGATCCTTAAAATGACCCAGGAAGAACACATACCTCAGGGCTGGGCTGCTCTTTATCATATGCTTTGCTTTAATTTGAGTCCATACAAAGCTCAAGTTCGCCCACCGAAGTTAAAAGTTCTGGACTCTGATCAGAAAATGACAAGCAATGGCTCTTGGGTCTTATCTTCAGGGGTCGTGTCTTAGCTTTCGACCAATTTTCTTTGTATTTAGACTTAAATGTGCAAACTACACTATATTACTCTGCAAAACATCAATGAGAAGGCTTAATTAAGTAACACTGACAGATAAATCCATTTCTTTCGCAGTAATCAAATCAAAGCAGGTTGACATAACACAGGAACTTAATACAGTTATTCCCTTGTAATTGGAAAAAGGCCCTTTACTTCTCATTAAAGCAATCTTCTGGGTATTGGCATAATAAGAAGGCTCAGGGCTTTAATACTGCCCTATAAAAGCCCCAAGATACAGACCCCTTAAGCAAACATGCCAGATTATCTAATTCCTTGATCACAGTGGAACATGTAGTTATTGTTTTAAACTACTAATTCTTTATCTCGGCTACAGTCAAAAAAGAAGGAACTTGGTCTCAAACACATCATGGAGCCCTATAAAAACCTAAGCCAGAGCTGAAGAATAAGATGTATTAAGATTTTTTTTTTTTTTTTAAAAAAGAACACTAGCTCTTTAGCTGGAAAATCGGGAGCTTACTAGGATGAAAACTAATGTTAGAAATAGAAAAAAAAAATAATAATAATTTTACTCTGTTTGTAGATTTGCCAAGAAATATTCTTTTTCCTGCATTTTCAAGTGGAATTCCCATTTACCTGTGTGATACACCCAGATCTCTCAATTCTTCCTTCTGCCTGTGGCCACAAAGGGTTTATACAGTGGAGCAAAACACAGGAGTGCTCGATAAATAGATGGACATCTGCACCTTGCCTCTCTATCTCAGTTAAAAATACTCTTTCAGCATGATCCAGCGAGCTATCGACAGGCCAACCCAGCTAACTTCTGTCCCCCTCTAAACGGAGCTCAAATCAACAGCACTTCTCCCTCCGCAGAGAAGAAAAAGCCCCAGTAATTGCTACCAAGTTAATCTAGCCTGGATTGCTAATAATTTAGCACGACAGATCTTACAAATCTTTTTGCAGTCCCCTAAACCTAACGCTGGGAATTTAATAAGTACCCCGTGAGGACTGCCACTTAGGTAATTAGGACACTGAAGCCCTGATGCCACCAAAGTCAACGCAGAAATCTCCAGTGACTTCTTCTCAGCGCTTGGGTTTATCCCACAGTGCACGAACTTGGACACATATGTAATTTTCTCCAGAATCTGGCTCCTGGAAATTAACCTCACTTAATCAGAAGCACGAGGCAACGCGACGTTACCAAAAGCAAATCCTCACAACCTGGGAAAGCAAATCCTGCGAATCCTAAAAGAGATGCTGAGGCTGGCTGGATTCAAGCCCTGCCACCTCTCTCGATGATCCTGAAGCACGAAGCGAGGCTTCTTGACCTTGGCTGTAACACCCAGTTCCTTCAACTTTTTTTTTGGTAAACATTTCATTCCCTTAAGGGCTTCCTAAAGGGAGGCGTGAGGCTTAGAAATTAATATATGCATATATTTTTCTGGAAATCCACCCTACTCTCAAAAAACCCTCCTCTTTGCAGGTATAAGCCAAACATACTTGGGAAATCATCCAACGCTATAGCAATAACGCAGGACAATAAATTAGATGACTCTGGAAAATAATTTCATTTGAGCCTCCCACCACTTCCAATAACAATTTCGAGCACGTACATGAAATCCTAAAATCACAAGCTAGAAAATGATATTCTCACGCTCTACCCCAGTAAATGGCAACACTGATATCAGAATGGCTTGGGTAGGAAGGGACCTTAAAGATCATCTAAGATCACCTCTTCCCACCCTTCTCATGCTGTCATCCCTACTTCTGCCCACAAATTAAGTAACCTGATTACTATGCTCATGCGAGTAAATAGAGAGGCACCCATTATACGCATTTTTTTTTTATAAGATGCTCAAATAAAGAGAGACGAAAGGGCAAATCCAGTTTGTTTTCATTGGCTGAACCTCCTTGCTTTGAAAGGACCCGGGTGAAATTCGGCTTCTGTGGGAGTTCCATTTGATTTGGATTTGATTTCAGTTAAGTCTGAAATTTCATCTTCAGTATTTTTGTTCGCTGAATCCAGAATAAATAATATTGCATGTTTAAACAGCAATATCCAGAGAAGCAGCACAATCGAAATCATGACTTTTAGTGAACGTGGTAATACAGTAGCTGCATGAGCAGCCTGTACTCAGAAGCATGCCCGTGAAAAATCTGGCCTTTACCCATCAGTTTCAGAGCAAGAAATACAGAATTGTTTCTTTAACTTTTCTTTAACTTAGTGCTAGGGCCATGTATTCTTTTAAAGGAGCTGAATAAACGACAGAGCAAGCCAAAGATAATTCCTGAAGACCGATAATTTCGTGCAAGTGCAAAATAATATTGATATAGTTACTTGTGTTAGTAGCTCAGAAATAGAACTGTGTTAGAAATCCAAAAATCCTGTAACAAA